TTAATATATATATATATATATATATATATATATATATATATATCAAAAAAAAAGTAAAAGAATAAACCTTTTCATGGAACCCCTACCTCAACACCTTAGAATAAAATATCATTTTTATCTGGAACAGACTGATTCATAGACAACCTACAATCCATATTATCAGGACCAAACCAATCATCAAACTGGTGAGGGCACCAGTTCCATCCAAACTGGATCAGCTCATAGGTTAGAGATCTTAAACGTATAAAGATAATAATAATAAGAAAAAAGGGCCTAAAAACCAATCTGAACAAACAGGTTCAGCCAATTCGGTCACTCTAAACCGGCTGGTTCAGATCAATTTTGACCTGTTGCTAATTCAGTTGTCAAACTGGACCAGTTCCCTGTCCAACAGGCTGGGCCAGTTTGGTCTTAATTTCATTGTTTGAGACACATTGGAAGTAGGAAGAAGATCTCACCAATACCCCCAACAAGAAACGAATCATGGAATACTGTGGCATCGACGACAATACCAAAGCCATCACTTGGAGGGAGAACAAACCCCAATAGAAGAATTAAGAACCCAATTGAAAATCCAGCCAGAGGTCCAGCTGCCGCAATCTTCACCAGATCTTCTCGCTTAGACATGATGCTGATGATCCTTGTTATAGCACCAAAAGAACCTATCTGCAATCAAACCAAATCCATAGATATTTGGAAAGAGAAGAAAACTAATCAGTGCAACATATTTATATGGAAAATGGTTTCACGCGTCGTGTCCCACATATCTACATTTGCTCTCCTGCATTATAAAGCATCAATCTTAAAGATGGATGCGTATGGGTGGTTCATCTAAAAACAATTGACACTAACAGTCCAAATGTTTTATTCATAAATTTATTATTTTTATTTTTTAAATGTTTTATTCATAAATTTATTATTTTTATTTTAAAAATTTATTTATTTTTTCATATTCATGATCTCCATGTTAGAGATTACATGTCCTTATAAATTGGGTCCGAAAATCCATCTCAAAAATAGATTCAACCCATTTCTACATGGACTCATATAAACCATGTCCTATGTATATATATACATTATATGTCAAGTGTTTGCGAAAATTGATGGAGCACGGGACCAACCCGAGATCAAAGAAGAGATACCATGAGGCTGGTGATCGCAAAGCCCGGATTTTTCTTGCCCTTTTGAGAGAGAGAAGAAGAGTTCTGTGTTTACAGATAAACTCTGTATATCTTTCTTTCTTTTTTTGTTGCGTTCTTCCTCTCTCAGGCTTCCTATTTTATAGGGAGAAGAAAAGCTATCCGTTATACTTCTCAACAGGTCTCTGAGAAAGGGTCTTCCCTGATCTTAGGGATATCCATCTAACGTTCATATGGACGTTGGTTCATATCAACGTTGGATGTGATAAGCATAGGATTCCTTCCACAATTGTACGCCTTCCAGCCCAGGCAAAATCACGCTAGGCCTTATGGCCATACGTATTAACATCTCCCACTTGGCCATGACGACCGAGCGTAATAATCAGTCACATGCATACTCTCATTTTTTAGTATGACCTTTAAAAAAACTTCTTGTCATGAGGCTTTTCTCACGCTTTCGCGAATATGCCTCTCATAACAAATGTCCATCATGAGAATTTTCACGCTAATGCGGATTTATCACTCATAAAAAACTAACTTAAACATTTTTAAGTCCCATTAAACTAGTGTGCTTAGACAATAGACCCTTAGTCAATGGATCAGCGATCATATCTAATGATGGCAAGTAACTAATAGTTACTTCACCTTTCTCAACTGCATCCTGAATGGAGTAATATTGAACATCTATATGTCTTCCTTTGGAGCTATTTGCTCCACTTTGAATTAATTTAATTGCAGCTTGATTATCATAAAATATTTGGATCGGTCCGTCGATTATTTGCAGCTTCAAATTATCTATGAAGCGTTTTATCCAGATGGCTAAAGTACAAGCAGTGCTACATGCAATGTATTCTGCTTCCTGTGTGTACCTAACTACACACCCTTTGTTTCTTGTTAGACCAAGAAACAACTGCCCCTCCAAAGAGGAAAATATGCCCTGAGGTGGACTTACTATCATCCTTATCCTCAGCAAAATCTGCTTATGAATATTCTATAACTTCAAGCTTATCTGCTTGAAAGCACAATTTTAGATGCTTTGTTCCCTTAATGTACCTTAGAATTCTTTTTACTGCTTTTCAATGAGCTATGCCGGGATTACTTAGATATCTACTAACAAGTCCTACGGCATAACTCAAATCTAGTCTTGTACATCTTACTATATATATCAAGCTACCAATAGCTTGTGCATAGGGAACATTAGGCTTTCTTGTCCTTCTACTAGACAATCATTTCTAGACAACTTTACTCCTTTTTCAACAGGAGTAGACAATGGCTTACAATTTTCCACTTAAAATATTTTAAAAACAGAGTCAAGATATCTCTCTTGGCTCAAGCACAACATTTTTTATTTTCTATCTCTAGTTATTTTTATGCCTAGAACATAAGATGTTTCTGCCATATCTTTCATCTCAAATCGAGAAGAAAGCCATGACTTAAATTTATCAATCATTTCAAAGTCATTTCCAACTATCAGGATATCATCTACATATAATGAGACTATTGTGAATTTACTCTCACTCTTCAAGACATAAACATAGTGGTCCAATCTATTTACTTCATATTCCATCTGTAGGATGGCATCATGAAATGTTAAGTACCATTGTCTTGAAGATTCTTTTAAACCATATAAAGACTTATTTAATTTGTATACTTTATTTTCTTGACCTTAAATTGTGAAGCCCTCAGGTTGCTTCATGTAGATGGTTTCCTTTAGTTCACCATTCAAGAATGCAGTCTTTACATCCATTTGGTAAAGTTCTAGATCATAATATGTAATGATTGCCAAAATTATTCTAATGGATATAAACGTTGCAACTGGGGAATAAGTGTCGACATAGTCGACTCCCTTTCTTTGGGTAAAGCCCTTTGCTACTAACCTAGCTTTAAATTTATCAATTGATCCATCAGATTTTAATTTCTTTTTAAGTACCCATTTAGAACCTATAGGTTTCGTATCTGATGGAAAATCACATAGATCCCAAACTTTATTTTTCTCTATAGAATCTAATTCTTCTCTCATAGCATTAAGCCATTCTGGAGATTCTTGTGACTTCATAGCATCATTGAAATCAAAAGGGTCATAGATTTCATGTAGGTCAATAAGGTTGTCTGTCTCCTCACTCATATAGACATAGAAGTCATCAAGGGATGATGGAGGAGCCTTATACCTCTTTCGACCACTTAACATTGGGTTTGTGGGTACTTCAACATTATCATGCTGATCAGGGTTATCCATATCTACTATAGGTAGTGGTTCTAAGTCATTTAGGATATTAAGTGGATTATCATTATCCACTACATGTATGCTTTCTTCAATAAAATCTTCTAAGAACTCAGCATCTCTGCTTTCAATGAGTCTCGTACTCTATAATAAAATCGATATCCCTTTGATCCTTCGGGGTATCCTATAAAATTACAAACTAGAGTTTTCTTTTCTAACTTAGTTCTATGCTGATATGGAATTAGGACATGTGCAATCAATCCCCACTTCTTTAAGTTGGATAGACCAGGTTTTCTACCTGTCCACAATTCATAAGGGGTAGAATCAATTACCTTAGATGGGACCCTATTAAGAATATACATAGATGTGCTTATTGCTTCTCCCCAAAAGGTCTTGGGTAGATTGGCTTGAGCCATCATGGATCTAGTCATTTCTAAGAAGGTTCTATTACGTCTTTCAGCAATTCCATTTTGCTGTGGCGTATAAGGCATAGTATTATGTCTTTTAATACCATATTCTTGGCAACAAGTATTGAAAGCTTCGGATTTATATTCACCTCCCTATCAGTTCTAAGAACTTTGATGTTCCTATCCAATTGGTTTTCTATTTCCCTTTTATATATTTTGATTTTTTTAAAAGTTTCTGATTTTTGGTGGATTAAAAAAATGTATCCAAATCTAGAAAAATCATCACTAAAGGTGATGAAGTATGACATCCCTCTATGAGTTTTAATACTGAGCGGCCCACAAATGTCTGAGTGGACTACATTCAATAACTCATTAACTCTCTCCCTTTTATTGAATGATTTCCTAGTCATTTTTCTTAACAAGCAGTGCTGACAGGTTGGAAATTCCACATTACCTAGATTTGGAATAAGAACATCTTTTATTAACCTATTTATTTGTCTTTTCCTATGTGGTCAAGCCTAAGATGCCAAGTATATGCATCAACAACCATTACACAATTAATATAACCAAAATAAGACGAAATTTTATAATCAACTTGCTCATTTACATGAAGAAAGAATAAGTTGTGGTCATCAATTAAGTGTCCCCAAGCATAAATTTGTCCACGCTTTCTGATTGATACTTTCAATGATCGGAAGCAGACTTCAAAGCCCTTTCTTATAAGCAAGGGGAAAGATACAATATTTCGTCTCATACAAGGGGCAAAATATACATCAGTTAATACAATCGATTGTCCCTACATACGACCTACAAGTTCCTACACCTAATACATCAAAATAGGTGTTGTTCCCCATGTAGATGCGCTTCTCCCCGGTTTTTATTTCTTTAAAGTCCTCGAAGAGGCCTTTTGAGCTTGTGATGTGCCGATTAGCGCTTGAGTCCACCCACCATCCTTTGATATCGTGGTCTGCCAGCTGACACTCAGAGACCACACAAATAACTTCACGCCTCTTGCTTCCATTCCTACTATTCTTTGGATTTTGCGGGTTTCTATTTTGTGGGCAGCGGTTCTTGAAGTGACCTGGCCGACCACATAAGAAGCATTTTAGCGGTCCATGTTTAGTTTATTGGTTGTAGGGCTTAGTTCCTTTATTTTTTTAACCTATTGTTCCTCTTGTTAAACTTCCGTTAAAATTTCTGGTTATCAGGTTTATGTTGGATAATTTTAGGAGGTCCTTGAGCAAGCATGAGTTCACTCCTTTTATCTTTGTTCATGTGCTCTTGCTCTAAGGTTAGTTGCATAGGTAGGTCTCCTAATGTAAGAGATTTTGCATTCAACCTAAATGCAATTGTTACCATCCTTTATGAAGGTGGAAGACTATTTAAGATAGTAGAAACTTGCATGCGCTCGGAGACTTCATTCCCAGCAACGGATAAGTCTTTAGCCATAACGAGCATCTTGTTAACATGTTCCACTACATTATTACCCTCCTTCATCTTGAATGAATTATATTGCTCTAATAGCAATTGGAGGTATGTTTCAGAGGTTGAGTCATATTTAGTTTTTATTGCCTCTAGCATTTTCTTAGATGTTTCATGATGCTCGAAAACTTTAATAAGGTCATCTTGCATAAAAGTTAATATAAATGTTTTTGCTATGAGGTCATCTCCTAAAAAATTTTCTAGCCTTTCCTTTCTTCTTCAGTTGGTTTATCATCAACTTCTGGTGGATCTTCTCTTAGTACATATATTATTATCTTGGATGAGAAGATATTCCATCTTCCTCTTCCACATCCCAAAATTATTTCCATTCAATTTTTCAACTTTAGAAAGTTCAGCCATTACAATTCTACTGGCCATTTGTTAAGTTTTGTGTGAGCTTTCTAAGTTCTAAAGAAGCTAAACAAGGCACCAAAATTTAATATGTGGTCAATACTTGTACAAAGAGAGCTGCAATTATTTCATAAACAATATCAGTTATTAAGTAATGCCAAAAAAAAATTGAAATAGGCAATCTCTCAATTTATAAGTAAGCACTACAATTATAATATAAAATTTCCCCTGTATATTATTTACTTGGGGTGCAAGAGCAATATCAAGGGAGCCCTTATAAAAATATCAAGTAGACAAATCAATTTCTATATCAGACCAAGTAAGTGCATCAAACATCAGCAATACTAAAATTGAGCAGAATAAGTCTTCTATAATCCCTTTTTTTTTTGTTAATAAAAATATCAGCAATATATAAGACAAGATATATGCTTAGAGTGACTATATCTCTGTAACAGATAATCCACCACAAAATATTTATCAAAGATGCGATATATGTGCGATTTAATGGGCGGGTTGCAATGACTTGCACGCAACTAATACATGAGGTTGGGGCCCACCAAAAATATTTTCAGCTCTCTTAGTTTAAAAAAAATGGGTGCTGCCCATCGTTTTATATTTCTGTAATCATAAGCAATCTCTTAAATATAGCTGCATGCAATAACGGAATTATCCTAAAAATATGGTTGCATGCAATATCGCAATATCCTAAAAAATATGGCTGCATGCAATATCGCAATATCCTAAAATATGGCTGCATGCAATATCGCAATATCCTAAAAAAATATGGCTGCATGCAATATAGCAATATCCTAAAAATATGGCTGCATGCAATATCTTTAAAAAAAATATTTCGTTGCCAACTAGATATTAGTTTGTTACCAACTAGATATTGATGGCAATTTTGGTTGCCTAGAAACAATGTAACAACAAGATTAGCAAGTGACACTACGTGCTTATCATAATGTAAGATATTTTGAGTATGAAGTCAAAAAAAAATAGCAATTCACTTTACGTGCTTATCAGAATAGCAAGCGCCTTTTACGCTTGCAAGATATTCTACGAGTATGAAGTCAAAAACAAAAAGAAAAAAGAACAGCAATGACATTCAGTGGAAATTCACTGCAATATTGCCAATAGGAGTTTACTGTTTTGTAAACACAGTAGGACTTTCCTAAAACAGAGACGATAATAGAGCAAAATTTGATGAAGGCCCTTATGTAGATGACCTTCCGAAAGGGATAATAACAGATAAATAAATAAATAAATAAAAGATCAAGGAAGGAACTCACGACTCAGGCACACGAGATAGAAAAAAAAAAGCCTAATTGAGATTGAGAAAATTACTATAGCACCAAGATCATCATAACAACCGCGCTCTGATATCAGTGTTAGCGAAAATTGATGGAGCACGGGGACCAACCCGAGATCAGAGAAGAAATGCCGTGAGGCTGGTGATCGCTGAGCCCGATTTCTCTTACCCTTTTGAGAGAGAGAAGAAGAGTTCTGTGTTTACAGATAAAACTCTGTCTATCTTTCTTTCTTTGTTTGTTGCGTTCTTCCTCTCTCAGGCTTCCCATTTTATAAGGAGAAGAAAAGCTATCTGTTATATTTCTCAATAGGTCTCTGAGAAAGGGTCTTCCTTGACGTTCATATGGACGTTGGTTCATGTGAATGTTGGATATAATAAGCATAGGATTCCTTCCACAATTGTAGGCCTTCCAGCCCAGGCAAAGTCACGCTAGGCCTTATGGCCATACGTGTTAACTACATTGAACGTGAATGAAAAGAAAGGAAAGATAATTAAAACAATTTGGGTATAGCTATTTCAATATTCCAGATTTGCACTTCTTCAAAAGATGAATATGTTCACTCACAAAAGTAGCAGCAATAAGTAATATAGCCATGATACAGCTTTCATCCTTTCACGTCCAATGATGATAAAATCCATATAAAAGCATCAAATGACTTAAATGCAGCATCACTGCACAAAACTGTAAAGTACATGAATTGCACCACACTGAAGATTCCCAAACTTTTGGGTTTTTTTTTTTTTTTTAATTGTTCTTGTGGGGTTATGCCTGTAAACCAGTTAGAATAATATAGGGTTCACATTCCAAGAGTTTAAAAAAGTATTTTTCATATCAGGATGCAATGATAATGCTCTAACAATGGATGCTATGTTCCTTGCATTAGTGAAAGTTTGTTTGCAGTCCACATTCTTGAGTCAATTAATTAGAACGAAAAATTTGCAAGAGTGACTTTCAATTTTGAAAACTACATGCACCAAGGTTTTGCCTAGTGTCACTCCTTAACAAAGGATAATTTTAGGTAGGTTGGCTGGGATTAGAACCTTGAAGCCTAAATCGTACTAGAAACGGTAGAATACAATTTGGAAACAAACTAACATACAATACGGACAATAAAATCTCACCTGCCAACTAGGAACAAAATAAGGTACTCCAAGCTTGGCTCCAACATATTTGGCTACTAAAAGGTGGCCAAGTTCATGTGCTGCTAGCACTCCAGCCGTGATAAGGGCTCCAGGAAGACCATCCTTCAACAATTGTAGATTATCAAAAGTTGACCTGAAATGTTAGAGTACTTGGTTGGACCCTAAGAAAAGTTAATTTTTTTCAAAATATTTGAAGTAAATAACTTTAAAAAAATGTACAATGTGCAGAAGCTAATAACTCAGGCATTATGAATAGAGTTTGTGTAGAAACCAGTGTTATAGGATTGGACCAACCATCGAACTGGTGGAGGATCTTGTTTGGTCGGGCCATTCAACCAAAGTGATTCACCAGTCAAATCAGCCAAGTTTTAAAAATAATTAAAATTTTAAATTAAAAACAAATAAAAAAAGGAAATATATAGAAAGAAATCCAGAAATATACTGGAAAATACTAAATATAGAAAACTTTAGGAACCACTAAGAATAATAAAATAATAAATAAAGTATTAAACAAGATTAGAATCCAAGAAGCCAAAGAAATACAATATAATCAAGTATACATAAAGCACTCCAGTAATTCATTACGCAATAAGCATTAAATTTGAAGGGCATTAAGCAAGCAAAGCAATTCATATCCAAACAGCTGTCTAAAGACAACAGAAGCAATATTTTTTCCTTTTTCCAAAAATTTAACAGCAGAGTAAAAGACAACAAAAATATTTTCCAGGAAGTTGGGAGGTTGAAACAGTCCAGAAAAGGTGGCTGGAATATCTCAACAATCCCCCAACCGCCTTCCCCACACACCCCCCCCCCCCCTTCCCCCATCTTTTTTTATCCCCTTCTCCTCAAATCTTTTCATGGACCACAGCATCCCTATTGATAATGCCTCAAAGGACAAAAGAACAAGGCCAAAATCGGCCAAAATTGCTGAAAAATCACCCAAAACAAAAACATTTCCACCCAGAAACACTGTACTAGCATTTTTGGACTCGCCCAAGTCCACTCGGACTCAAGCAACTCGGCCTTGCCCTAGTGGCAAGGCGAGTTAGGTGTCAAACTTGCCTGGCCCCAAAACCTCCAAAAATAAAAATATAAAAGTTAAATCGTTACAAAAAAAAAATTTGTTAGTAATATTTTTTTAAATGATTTTAATTTATTTTTATTTTTTTATGATTTGGGAACTTTTATATTTTTTTCTTTTTTCAAAATTTTTCTAAAATTTTCAAGTTATAAATCAATTTATTTTATCTCCTTTACTATTCTAATGCACTCTATCATCTCTTTTAACTTTTTTTCTGATTTGTAACTAATTTTTACATGGATCCGATTTCTATGCGGCCAAGCCCGCATATGTAGAAATGCGAGCCTCTTAATAAATCTATTTTTGAGATCGATTTTTTGACTTAATTTTTAAGGACATGTAATTTCTAACATGGAGATCATGAATATGAAAAAATAAATAAATTTTAAAAACTACTAATAATAATTCTAGCAAGAAAACATTTGGACCGTTAGTTTCTATTGCTTTAAATGGAACACCTACTTGCATCCATCTTAAAGATGGATGCATTACACTTTCTGGACCACATATGTAGAAATGCAGTCCAGCCCACATGAAATAATTTTTCTTTTTACACATTCCTTTTTTTAATTAGTTTTTTACAATTTCTTTTAGGGGTGCATGAATCAGCTGAATCAACTCAAATTCGGCTGAGTTACTCACCTCGGCCAAAGGCCGAGTACATTGGCCAAGGCGATTTCCTAACCAGCGCATCGTACATCAGGACCAGGCAGTCCAGTCTGGATTGGTCGAACCAACTGAGTCACCAGATGAAATGGATATTCTCCAACTCAATCCGCTTTGGTAGACATACTGGTCCAGAAACACCCACTCACCTGGTATACCCACCAGTTCCCAGTACGACTGAGCGGACCAGCAGGTCCGGTCAAGTCCTGATTATGCTGGTTAGGATCCATATGAAAGATATGATGATTATTTTCTTTCTTTCTTGGTGCATGAATATCCATTTTGTGAATTATGTATAAGCGCATTATCAAGAATGAAAAGTATATTATAATAAAAGGAATATGGAAAACCCTAGTTCGTTGGCTCACAACTGTCCATTGAAGTGATGGAAATTACTGGAGAGAGTGAGTGGCACCCGGACCCACCATTGCGATCATATCTTGTTCTGGTGGGTCGAACTCTCTCTGTGTAAGCCTTGATCGCTTCAACAGACATGGATAACCAAATGGAATATGGATTTCCATGATCCGCTGGATCATATTATGTTTCCCAGAGCAACAATTTGTATTCTGCTCTATATCAGTATGAGAACTGTTGCTTTAGTTCCTTCCTCTTTGGAACGTAAATATGTCTCAAATAATTATAGATGAAATGATAAATCATCCTATTCTGTCCAATTTACGGATGCAATTCTGTCAAAAATATTACAAGGAGAGAAATCACATACAGTAAGTTTGACTGCAGACCAGGCACGTTTCGGAGGAGTAAAGTGAAAATGGTGACTAAGCCAAATGCACCAGCAGCAAACCATTCCGGAACAGCTGCAAATAGAAGTGCACTTCTGATCACCGTTATTTAAAGAACAATTTTCTGGTACTCAGAAGCAAAAAAAAAAAAGATTGTGGAAAATATCAGGATGCGAACACCTGAAAAATTCATGCAGGTATTCCAGAACTTTGAAGTATCAGGGCAGAACTAGGACATGTCAATTTTTAAGTGATAATGTTAACCAAGTGATCAGTACCAAGGGCAAAAACATGCTCGTCCATAATATAAACATAAGACTGGGTAAAAAAATCAACTAATGAATATGGATTCAAGCATTGTCCTGATATGTCAGCACGTCACAGCAGATTGCCTAAGGTTCCTACAGATAACCTACACAAAAAGCAAAGAAGCAAAAGATGCCCTTTCCTAATATTTCAACTTCTGCACCCCCTGCTTGATTGCTGCATATATTCGAGGTATTGGCCTGATATTTTCTCAATTATAGTTGTTTTGTGCTCGTAATTTAGAGAAGTAACAGTTAATGCGAAATGAAACCCATTTATAATAAAAATCAAGCTTCAACAGAAATTTTTAATGCTTAAATTCAGTATTAACACACCCAACAAGAATTTTGAGTGTTTGTTAATAGTATTAAATTTGTGTATTTAGCCCCATGAAATTTCAAAAAATTCAAAGGATATGACAGGAAAAAAACACAATTACCTGTTGTCTCAGGCTGCAATGTTTCCTTGGGGACAACTACAGCCACTGGCTTATCATCCTCTGGATTTGCAAGGATGAAAAGCTTGTATTGATCCCCAAACCTATCCTGTGGTAAACATTTGCTACAAATTTACACAAAACTAAGACTATATAACTGAGTTTATTCATGGTTTATATTGTAAATCCAGAACTAAGAGCACCTGCATCCGTTTTGTTATCTTTTCATAGCTTCTAGCAGCTAGTCCTCGCAAGTTCCCTTTGAACAATACTCCACCCTGTTGGCAAAAGGAAAAATATTAAAGTTTGCAGTATTGGGGTTCTCTAGAGAAATTAGGAGGATAACCAACAATAATTTTTGGAAGACGATAATTTGAATAGTGAATAAACCTTGTGTTGTAGCCCAAAATACTACTCCTAAGTATTTAGACAAGAGAGATAAGCTTCAAGTTTACAAGAGGAACCGCAGAAGGGAAAAGGAGTCCTTGAATCTTTTTATGTCTTTTATTTATTTCTTAAGTTAGTTTATTCACTTAGGGGCATGAGTACTAATTTCTAGAGTCTTCTATGCTTTTGTATTCATTATCATAAATGGCCATGATTAGATTAGATGGATGGCCAGAATTAAGTCGTATTTAGGATTTTGCTTATTTAAGAGATGTACTCAAGTATAATTAAGAATCTTGTTATGGACTTTATTCATAACCCTAGAGCAGCCAGTGCTCCTTCTATCTCTAGTTTTTAAATCTTTCTCTAAATTTGGATCTTCCCTATCTTCTTCTTTGCTAAACCCTAGCTCCAAGTTGTTAGGCATGCGCCAACTTGGTGTCAGAGCTACTGTATCATGTACTGTAGCACAGTACTGTAGCATCGATTTTTGTGCCCTAGATCAGCGGCCATGCCCTCACGCAGATGAAAATGAGGAAACACGACAACCTTAGAAGAATTTGATGCTAGTTCACGAGAAAGAATTGTTGATCTGAGGAGATTGGTCGAAATCCTAGCTCTTTGTTTGGCACATATGGAAGCCCGATCTCATGAGTATGAGATCGACGCAGATGAAGAATTCGTAAATCCCTTCCATGATAAGCTCCAAGGAGAGAGGTAGTTGATCGTGCGGATAGGGATATAGGTGGTGGGAAATCAGTTTCAAGGTAGAGATTCCGAAGTGTTATAGAAATCCATTTGAGGACAAGCATGGAGAAACTTTGTTCTCATCAAATGGTTCTCAAGATCAGTGGGACTCACTGCTAGTCTTTGTGATGTAAATCACACCAAGGGGCTGACGTGAACAAGTTTCATTTCATTTCGTAATTAGCCCTGGGATGTCTCCATCATTTTCAAGATCTTTTGGTCACCGGGACCTAATCGTCATTTTCAGGATTTGTTTTAGTCACCGGGACAAATCTGCCATTGTTTCTTTGTTTTCAGCGTGGGGATGAGTTTGTCATTTTCTATTTGTTAGTTGGTCATTTTGGGATTTGTTAAGGTCTAGGGAATTGTTTGTAGAGATGAGCAAATTTATTGTGCGAAAGTTTCCATGAGTTTAAAAGTCAAAGATGTATAGTTTCAATACATGGGAATTGTATTGTATGAATGGGGACTTGTAATATGGGAATTGGGTTGCATGAAAGTTGATTTAATTTTATGGGGAATAGATATAGGGGCAGTTTAGTCATTTCATGATTTCGTTAGGGGTATTTTAGTCATTGTCTAGCTCCAGTGAATGGATTTGTATTTACAATGAAATCTTCTTCCTCCTCCTTGGTGTAGAGTTGGATAGTTTTGTTAATAATTTGAAATTTTGATAATGAAATTATCAAATTTCATTATGTAACAGTTAGATAGTTTTGTTAATAATTTGATAATGAAATCTTCTTCCTCCTCCTTGGTGTAGAGAGAGAGTGTGAGAGAGTTCCCATCCTTATTTACCTCAAGTACCTTGAGTTAGAAGGTCATCCTTGTGTACTGTGAGTACCTTGAGTGGCAAGATTTAGGGCTGAAGATGCCTTCCGCTTCATTCCTTTGATTGAGATCAAGGAAGCCCAGTCGTCATGCACAATCAACCTTGGGTCTCTAGTTTTCGGTGCCGGTTTTGCACCATTTGGTATCAGAGCAATTTCATTGGTGGAAGACACCATTTCTCTTCTATAGACAGCGATCGACAAGTTTTGTTGCTTAACTGAACTCAACCTAGTCGGTTGGCACCCAATTTTGCACCACTTTGACAAGTCCCTAGATGAAGATTTAGGTGTCGAGAAAAAGTAGGTGATCATAACTTTAATGGTGATCCAATCATCAATGAGGATCAAGAAGAAGATCTTACCCTTGGAGGGGATCATGTGGATGCTCCTTTCCTTGATGAAGAATTGGGTGAGAGTGCCAAACTTGCTCCCGAGATGTTCTAATTTCTTTGTCCTTAAAGGAATTAGTGAGAAAAATGATGATGTTGATGGAGGTCATGATAATGATGTTCTTTTTCGAGTTTTACCTGAATTTAGGGTGTCCCACAAGGTACACACCAAAGAGGTCAAGGTATTTTCCCCTGAACTCTCAGCTAGTGAGTTTAACAAAGGAGATGCTGACCAAAGGGTTGCTGAAATCATTCTCTTTGAGAGAATTCAGGATGAATCGTCGCTCTGCTTTGATGGAAGAACCAAATCTATTCCTTGTAATCTTCCCCCAAAACCTAGATCTAAGGGGCCTAATATTTGCATCTCGATCTAACCAAATTCAGCAAGAATGAGCCTCCGAGTTCAAAGCTTTTTTTGCATCCTAATAGAAGAGTTTTCCTCAAGTAGGATTATGATTGATAGTGTTGCGAACTTGCATGGCAGCAGTGGTAGTTTTCAATGTGCACAAACTTAATGGATGAGATGTCTATGAGAGGCACTATGACCGGGAAAACATTGATCTCTAGTTATTTTGAATTGTATATCTGTAAGGTTGAGTTACAATATTTCCAAGAGATGAAAAACTCAGGGTTTTGGTCTTCTCAATTTGTCCTTGCTAATATTGCTACATCAAAATGTAGTGAAAGATTAGAGAGTATGGAAACTGCTAAGCATATCCATGCTAAAGCTGGGAAATGTGGGTTTGACTGTAATCTTTGCACCGGCATTGCACTCTCATCAATGCATTGCAGGATTGACAATCTCCTTTCAGTGGATTCAATGCTCAATCTTACAAGTCATAGAGGCAAGATTTCCTACAAAATTATATTGAATGGATACCTCTGAGGACATATGATTAGAAGTGATTCAAGACTCTTCCCTCCTATGCTTGGTCATGGTTTTAGACCAAGTTGTTCTGAATATCATAAGTTGAACTAGCGCAAGATTGGACCATGTAAAGTAGGGAAGGAGATCAATAAAAATGCCTACAAATTGGAGCTTCTCAACCATATTTGCACTTCCGATGTTTTTAACGTCAAGAATCTACCTCCAACAACGAGCTGCCAAATTTGAGGACAAATTCTTTTGAAGGAGGAGTGATGCAGCCCAAAATACTACTCTCGAGTATCTAGACAAGAGAGATCTTGAAGTTTACAAGGGGAACCGCAGAAGGGCAAACATGTCATTGAATCTATATATAATTTTATGTCTTTTATTCATTTCTTGAGTCATTTTATGCACTTAAGGGCCTAAGTAGTAATTTCTAAAGTCTTTTATGTCTGTTTATTCACTTAAAGTCTTATATTATAAATGGACATGATTAGATTAGATGGATGGCCACGATTAAGTCTTAAGCCGTCCCAAGCCCCGGTAAAGGGAGTGAATTGTGTTAGGTAGGTAGCCAACATAAAACTTTACCAAAACTTTCCATAATGCTGAATCTACGTTATCTGCTTATATTAGGGCATTTCCCATAAGCAACGCGCCATATTGGAATCCGAGTAAATTGAGAAATGAGCAAGGGTTAACTAGGGCGTTCCCCAGAAGCAATGCGCCGCAGTACCGTCCGATTGCGGTGAAAACTAGTCAAGGGTTCCCACAGCATTCTGGACGAGCATAGGTAAAGACGCTAGTCCAAGAGAATAGGATTCATCTAGCCACATGGAATATAGGAACACTTACAGGTAAAAGTATGGAGTTAGTGGATACCATGAGACGAAGGAGAGTAAAATAAGCTTGTCTACGGGAAACAAAGTGGAAAAGGGAAAAAGCTAAGAAAATAGATGGGTATAAACTTTGGTATATAGGAAAGGATAATAATAGAAATGGCATAGGCATAATAGTTAAAAAAAATTTAAAAGATAAAGTAATTAACATCAAGAGAGTAGGTGATAGGCTCGCGTTAATTAAAATTATATTAGGGAAAGCGATAATTAATGTAATTAACGTTTATGCATCACTAAGTAGGACTAGAGGATAGAATTAATAGACAATTGTGGGAGGACATAGATGGACTAGTCCAAAACATACCAAATGAAAAGAGGACCTTTTTAGAAAGAGACTTAAGTGGTCATGTAGGGAAGGATAGTAGAGGATATAAAAGGATACATGGGGGGTATGGGTTTGGTGAAAGAAATGAGATGGATAAGGCTATTCTAGATTTTGCTATGACCTACGACCTATCAATAGCAAATACTTACTTTAAAAAGTGAGATGAACATTTAATAACCTATAAAAGTGGATCATATAAAAGCCAGATAGACTTTAGTTAAGAAGGTAGTTCAACCATTATGTAAAGACTGTAAGGTTATCCTAAGAGACAGTTTGATTGCGCAACATAGGCTCATGATTATGGACATCTGCATAAAGAGATGGAAGAGAAAGGGCGATCAATAGGTAACCAAGAACCAGGTGGTGGAATTTAAAAAAGAAAAAATAGACTTATTTAGGAATAAATTAATTAAAAAAGAAAATAGAACTCTGAAAGTGAGGTCAATGTTATATGGAATGAAATGGCTGACTGTATTAAGAAAGTGGCAAAAGAAATTTTAGGAGAAACTAACAGGAAAAGAAATTCTAGTTAAGATGGTAGTTCTAGTTGAGAAACTTACTTTAAAAACTGAGATGAACATTTATTAACCTATAAAAGTTGATCATATAAAAGCCAGATAGACTTCTTCCTAGTTAAGAAGGTAGTTCGACCATTATTGCACAACATAGGCTCATGATTATGGATATCTGCATAAGAGATGGAAGAGAAAGGGTGATCAATAGGTAACCAAGAACCAGGTGGTGGAATTTAAAAAATGAAAAAATAGACTTATTTAGGAATAAATTAGTTAAATAAAGAAAATAGAACTCTGAACATGAGGTCAATGCTATATGGAATGAAATGGCTGATTGTATCAAGAAAGTGGCAAAAGAAATTTTAGGAGAAACTAACAGGAAAAGAAATTCGGATAAAGAAACTTAGTGGTGGAGTGATGAGGTTCAAAAGACTATTAACGAAAAACAATCATGTTATAAAACTTGGAAAGTGACAGAAATGATCAAAACTTAGAATAATGTAAAAATGCTAAAGAAATAATAAGTAAGGCTAAACTTAAGGCATATGATAATCTCTGAGATAAATTGAGAACAAGAAAAGCTCAAAAAGATGTCTACAAATCAACAAAAATGAGCGAGCAAAATGTACGGATCTAGACCTTATTATGCATTAAGAGTGAAAATAAAAAGGTCTTGGTGAAGGATGAAGAGGTCAATGAAAGGTGGAGAATTTTATTTTCAAATATTATTAAATGACGAAGACGAACACAATGGGACCACAATGATAGAAGAAACCGTTGGCATAAATGAGGGCAGAGATCATAGATACGTTCGTAAGATAAAGATGAAATGAAAGAAGCTTTAAAGATGATGAAGATAGGAAAGACTTTAGGACAAGATGGTATCCCAATAGAGGTTTGGAAGTGCATAGGGGAAATCGGCTTGACTGGCTAGCCAAGATGTTCAACAAGGCGTCGAGAACAAAGAAGATGTCAAATGAATGGAGGAAAAGTACTATGGTACCTATTTACAAGAATAAATGAGACATAGAATTGTGAGAATTATCAAGAGATCAAACTTATGAGCCACACTATGAAGCTGTGGGAAAGAGTGATTGAGCAACTACTAAGGCATAAAACGAGTGTACCAGAAAACCAATTCAGCTTTATGCCAGGGAGGTCAACAATTGAGGCTATTTTCCTACTTAAGCAACTGATTGAGAAGTTTAAGGTGAAGGAAAAAGACCTCCTCATGGTCTTTATTGATCTAGATAAGCTTATGATAGAGTACCTCGAGATTTAATTTAGTGAGTGTTGGAAAAAAAGAGTCTTCAAATACTATATCAAACTTGGTGAGATATATATATAAGGGAGCACTAACTAGTGTGCGAACAACTAGTGGAGAGACAAGTGAGTTTTTAGTGACAATAGGTTTACATCAGGGGTCAACATTGAGCTCATACCTCTTTGTCTTAATTATGGACGACTTAACTAGGCACTTATAATATGAGATATCGTCGTGTATGTTGTTCGCGAACGACATAGTTTTGATCTATAAGACCCAAAGCGGCATCTCCACAAGGTTTGAACTTTGAAGGGATGCTCGAGAATCTAAAAGTTTTAAAATTAGCCGGACAAAGACAAAGTACATGGAATGCAACTTTAGTAATAATGAGAGTAAAGATGAGGAAGTATTTAAGATCGACGGCCAAGAAATACGAAAAGAGCGCACTTTCAATATCTTAGGTCGATAATCCAAAAAAATGAAGATAACGAAGAAAATGTCGCACATAGAATTATAGCTAGTGGGTCAAATGGAGATGTGCAACTAGAGTTTTATGTGATTGCCGTATATCACTAAATCTAAAGGGGAAGGACAGTTGTGAAACCAGCTTTGCTTTATGGGGCGGATGTTGGATGGTCAAGAAACAATATGCCGATAAGATGATTGTAGCTAAAATGATGATGTCAAGATGGATGAGTGACAAGACAATAAGGGTTAGAATTCGAAATGAATACATTATGGAAAACTTAGGTGAGGCTCCAATAGGCGATAAGATGAGTGAATGTAGACTTAGGTGGGCCTAACCATGTGCAGCACAGACCCAATACAACACCTATTAAGAGGTGCAAGTTGATTCAAGTACAAAGCTCAAAAAGGGCAAGGGGTAGGCCCAAAAGGATGTGGTTGGAAGTAGTGAAATGGAGACTTATGGCCTCACTGAGGGTATAGCCCTTGATAGAACAGAATGGCGGACCAGGATTCGTGTAGTCGACCCCAAATAATTAGGAAAAGGCTCTGATAGTGATGGTGATGATGATGATGATGATGTATATCTATATGCATGAATGTATGTATGTATGTATGTAATAGATACATAAATGTATGTGCACATATACATATATATCGTTTCATCCTTGATTTTATATGTGTGTGTTTATATAGCGGAGTGATTTCATGCAACGGTTCTATACTAATATAATGAAACAATCTTCAAAAGCCATGTTAGAGCCACTTGTTTGACCCCAATTCTTAAATATACAATTTTTTCTTTATAATGAACGATCACAAAAAAAGTAAAATTTGAAAACACATTCTAGAAAGTGTTTTTATAGCCCAATTGATATAAGCCCGTTTGTTTTAGTGAGATGCTTAGATCTAGGCCTTAGAAGGATTTTTTTTTCCTTTCCAAATTTTTTAGATAGCTTTATTATCATTAGATTAACAATGTTAAAAAAGAAAAAAATGATTTTGAATTCTTTGAGGCCTAGATCTTGAAATTCACCAAACAAATGATCAAGATTCATTGCTAGAGAGCACTCATTAAATTGAATTTCATTTTTGTTAGGATTGATTATTAGGACAAAGTGTGTATGCAAAATTTAGGTCATACAAATGGCACAAAAATAGCCTTCTAGAAGTGTAGTTTCATTATATCACAATGACACAGTGACATGAAATCATCCCCCTACCCCAAACACTCACATACACACACATACTAGTGTGTGTGTGTGTGTGATCAAGAATGAAGCAATATCATATGACGGGATAATTACGATAGCAACTTTAGCGATATCACCACCAGCAATTACCTCACATCCTATCAAATTTGTTACAAATCAGTAGTTTTGTAACTCCTAGAACTTTGGTATTGTTCACTTATCATAAAAGAGGAACGAAAATTTGTCCATTATATTGACTAGCATCAGTACACTCCAAACTATACTTTTAAGAACAGATCCTGCACTACTCAAGATGCACTCATGCATGCACATGAGAAAGCATATCATAAACAAAAGCACAAGAACATTAATACAAACAAATTATCATTGGCGAAAACACAAGAATAAGTGTTGGATGCACATACATATGATATGCATGTCAATAAAATCAAATCATTCAAACCTTTCCCTATGGAAATTAGAAATCTCACCTCGTATGGTTCTTGGCTAGTGATAAAGAATGTATCAAAACCAAACACTTGATCCTTCAAAATATCAATAGATGCCTTTGGAATTCTGATGAGTTCACCAGGTGGCTAAAAGGTAGGGCCCAATGCCCCGAGCACCAAATGTATAGCAGCAAAAGAAGGGATGCACTTTAGTCTAATAAATAACGACGTTGACAATATATCTAATAGCTAAATTAGTATCAGCGCGCAACAAAAATATACTCTCATTTGCAAGATTATATAATTTCAAGATCCAAATCCATTGAAGAACAATACCTTCAGACCGGGTAGAGGGGAGCCACTTGCTACTTCTGAAGTTTCATTCATATCCTATAAGACATAGGTTATTTCCATGAGGCATCAATTGACATCGCGAAAGTCTTCATTGCACACATCTACCAATGGTTCAAATGCCTATTTTTATCATAATTTAAAGACGACATTGAACTCCACAGAACCAAATTACTTGTATAGTTGCTTGATCATTGACTTCCTCAGAGGTTTCCTCCCCTGGCTCTGAAGATTTTAGCAAATCCATGTCCGTGGGCTGAGTCTTATCCCACAAAAGGTTCAAACGAAAAACATGTCACTAGAAAATTAGACTATAATATTGGTTATAATACAGAGCAGGTAATTATATCAGTACACAATGAGAAACAATCATATGAATATTTATTGTCTGATCAAATTACAAGTTTGGCCATAATACCCAAAAAAAAATCAGAAAACTCAACTAAGAAAGTCAACTAGAAATTCCCAGTGGGAGAATTCAAGAATCAAATGGTACAAAGAAATTTTAATGTAAGTGTTACAATTTTCATCAAAAAATTTCTCAAAAAGGGATTGTCAAATCACAGTCAAACTCTTTCATAAGATATGTCAGTTGGAAAATTAGTGTGTTACCACTAATATAATGAACTTACTTCCCCAATGGAAGGTGGAGGACTAGGACCCCGATTATTTTGTTGAAAAGGATCCAAAGGAGGTGGCAGTTCCCCATCCTTAAATTGTTTGTTCCCCTGACAAACATGTTTAAGTTTGAAACTACGAATAAGAATGGACTCCATAAGCAACATCACAACGAGCAATTTAACTAAGTTACAGTAGGAAGATGAGAACTTACTTTAATCATAGATCAACATCACTAAACATAAGCAATCAGAATTTCAATTCACAATGGAAACTATCAACGTGAAGCACCATGATACATGTTGTGACAAGTAATAAACAACAGGTTTAGGTTACTTTCTCAAAAAAATAAACAACAGTATTAATTATAACGACTCATTCCTGTCAAATTTCCAAGCACCACAAATTTGTGATGGAGCACAAGGTATTCCAATTTTGGACTTCAGGTGTTCGTCTAATTATTTCACAGATTTTCCTTCAAGGTAATGTTTTCAAATTTTAAGGTGATAATGCCCATGCCTGTTCAAGAGATCTGCAAACAAGATTATTTATTTTGTCAATAACATTAAATATAACAATGTTAACAGTGATCTTAGTGGAAGACAATAGCTCTGAGATAATTAAGTATCAACCATGTGGAAACTTCATTGCCTGTTACAAAAGTAACGACATTTTGAGTAGTGCCTTAGAAGTCACAAACGCTATCATGGGTGACACAAGATATGCGATATCACAAAAATGGCAAGAACCACAGAATAAATGGACAAACCTAAATTTCTTTGGGACTCCAAAAATACACTCTTCAACTCTTGCAACAGGAATGTAGTCAATGCACCACTTGAAACAAGAGCTTCTTTCCCTTAGGGAAAAAATTTATATAACCCAACAAGCTTATTCTGCAGCATAAGCCACTTTGGAAAGCAGGTGTCCATTGGACCTCAAATTCTACATACATGTAGATTTCATCTAGGCAATCAAAAAAGTGCCCCAAAACATGGGGTTAAATGAGTCCACACTTTTCAGTAAATGGAGGCCTTCCATTTGGTTGACGGTTGATCTGAGATCTTTTTTCCTTTTCTTTTTTTTCTAGTCGTTTTTTCAAGAATCAAAGATGAGAAAATGTTCAACCGAAGAAAACCCATCTAGCCATGTGCTTTGGAGTCCGCTTATGCTGTAGCTGTAAACCAGTTGGCTTATAGAATCTTATTCCTTCTATCAGTGATGTTAAAATATGCTGCGTATTCCTTTCTCTTGCATTCACAACAGACAATTCTATACTATATCTTTTATTATTTAATACAAGGGATTGTCTACAAAGAGACCATTTATCTTTTGTACATGGAGGTCACAATCATTCCCACTCAATAGATGTCAAATTGGATGGGGTGGGGTGAGTCATGAAGTCCGAGAATTTTTTTGTGGAACTTTGTGTCTATTCAATGACACTCTTACAACCACCCATTTTGAAATTTAAGAGACAAAAATGATAGTGACCATGTACAAAAGAGCGATAGTCTCTTTGTAGACAATCCCTTAATACAATAAGTCAATCTCATCAAAAAATAAATTTAACTACAAATGTCAATATTCAGTCCAAAACAACAAGCACGGTTTCAACCAATTTCCAATACCCAACCCCTTCTATCAATATTAATACAAAACACCAATTATAAAAATATGATTAATTGGGGAGGTGAGTTTAACATGTGAAATTCAACAATCATAAATCAGAATTGTTATAACCAATTGCATCACAATTCCTCAAAATAAATGGAAGCAATTAAATCAATAAGTTACCCATTCACTTGTCCTTATCAAACAGTAAATAGTAAGGATGCTGAAAATAAGTTCAAAGCTCCAAACCCAATGCAGCACATATCAGGAAATATGACAAATACATATGTAATGATTTGACTGCCAGGCATCTTGATCAATTAACAAACGTGTTCCAGTGATTTCCTAGCAAATGAATAGCAGGCAAATAATCAACTAATCACCAGTCATTCCCTCTGTGGAAAGACCAGCTTGAACTCTACGCAATTTATTGAAAAATATATCAATGACACCGTACATTGTCGTTATTGCTTTCGGGCTCAGTTTCTGTTTCGGATGGCATCGCTCTAGTAGAAATCCTTTGCTTCCTTGACAATGGCACCCTGGTTCAAGACAATTACCATAAAAAAAACACATTCAAAGTTGAAGCTGCAAATTCCATATACTTGCAACTTATCTTCAACAAACCACAACCATTTCAAATGCACCATATGAGGCTATTTCTCGCTAGGCGTAAACAATTGAAAAGCCAAAAGTATCGATCGAATTCAAATATGAGAAATGTTACCTTGTGACTGGAATAGAGTTCGTATATGAGGAACACGCATGCATGTGCAAATTATCCTTTCTCTTCTCCCCGGAACAATTCAATGAAATCACAGAGCATAGAACCGACGGAAAAGCTCCATTGAACCAAGAAGCTCTCTGCCTAAAAATGAAAAAGCCTTCCCGTAAGGCCACTGTAGACTCCATTTCTGGAAGATAAGCCAAGCTTTAATGGCCAAATTCTTGTACCACCATAACAATTTCACAATAAAACTCTAAAACTTGGGTTTGGACCAAGACCAGAAGGAGCAGAAATTGAGTTTTAATGCACAAATTGTGAATGGAATTTTGCTGATAAAAACTCGAAAATTAGAGTTTGCAAAAGAAATTGGGGTTTTAATGGCGGCAAAAAATATGTTCGAATGTTGGGTTTCTATATTACTCACTCATTGCCTGAAACCTTGAATTATCCTTTAATATTATTTTTAGAATAAAAACAAAAATAATTATCCTTGATTTTATTTTTATGGAAATTTAGGAAAAACATTTTTCAATTTTTATTTCTTCAAACTTTAAAAAAAATAACTAAAAATAATTAATGAAAATAAGCAATAGATGAAATACTATTTACAAATGACTAAAATGATTTTTTTACAAGCAAAGGAAAAACCTTGAATTTATTTTGAAAATCTGATGTATGTTACTCAACTAAAATACATTAGATTTTCAAATTTTGAAGTATTCTTAGTCCGCCTTAAAATATAAATGTTAAACGTCATGTCCTAAAAATTTGAAGTAAGAGCAATATTATTATTTTTTTAAATTATGAAAAAATTCGGTACAAACGTAATACTATTGAAGTTTTGAACAATTTTTAACAATAACTCTTATTTTTATAGAAATACAGGAAAAACCTTTTTAAATTTTTCATTACTATAAAAACTGAGGAAAAATGGAAAATACAATCGCTTTTTCCTTTCACCTGTTCATCGACATTGGAGTCTCACTGAACCAGTCAGGGGAAATACTTCTTACATGGAAATATGGGCCGCTCAACCAATGATGATCTGACGCGTTTTAGCTCTGTAGCATGATCCCATGAGAGCACAATGTACAACAACTCCCGCTAACAAATGGGGAAATTAAGAGAAAGAATTAACAGTGGTTTTTATTTAGGGAAAAGTTTATATAAGGTTGGAACCTTAAAATGTAAAATTAAAGATGCATCTCAAAAATCCATCAAACAAGGTTGTTTTAATGCTGAAAAATCTTCTAATTGATCATCTTGACACCAAGATGTCCGAATATTAAAAAGAAAAAGATTTTGAGTCCCAAAAATAGTGCATCTTGCAACACATTATCTAGACCGTCCATTTTCAAGGCTTTCATATGTTTATAGATATGCTTGATTTTAACTATTTTTTAAATTTAAAATTTTATAATTAGAGATGAAAATATATTTTAAGATAGTCCTAAGAATTTTTTGCATCAAAATTATATGTTATAATAAAATTTAGAGGTATACCTTAATTGGATTGTTTAAGATTGCAACCTTATAGAAACCACACCCTTTTGTTCATCTGAAATTTTGAGTTCTATCCATACAAGATTATTTTCAAGATAGGGTTTTGAGTTTTTAAATACCTTAATTGTTGTCTAAAATTTGGACTTCTTGTTCCAAATTTTAGCCGAGGGAGCAAAGCCACAGTATGTCAAGCAAGAGTAGTAAATCACTATATAACTCATAATCAAAAAACCTTTACATCCATCATCTTGAACATTATGGTTGTCGATTCCAATTAGAATTTTAAATTCTAAAAATAGTATATATTATAATAAATTATCTAGACCCTCCATTTCATCCTAAAAATACATATTAGTAGAACTACAAGATCTTTATTATTTTTTAGTTTCAAATTTCACTGTTGATGTTAGAATGGAGATTTTCATTGCCTTTCCATACAAGGATTTGAGACGAGGCTGTTTTCATAAAACCTAAGCTTTATAGAAACCTCATCCTATACTTTAATACCATGTTGTCGGAGAGAAAAAAATTTATCCTGCAAAATTCGATGGCTTGAGGTAGCTCCACAAAGTTCAAAAAAATTCATTTTAAACTTTAAGCCCAATCAAGAGTGTGCCTTTGTCACCCTATAGCTAGAGGTGTCTCATTTTTCTGTATAAAATATGGAAAAAAAATTTCTATGATTAAGAATATGATCAAACGCATTACCTCAAGCAAAGACACTTATAAGCGATTATGATCTTCAACAAAAAATAAATGGTTCGCACTAATTTCTTTCTTCTTGAGTATTTGAATATACATATATATATATATATATTCCAAATATAGAAAAAAGGGATATGGTATACCTTCACATACAAATCATGCAACTAACAACGAATTTGATTAGACAAATAAATATTAATCACATACGAATAACATTTTTATTTGTCCCGTACCCAGTAGTATTGATCAGATAAATGGGTTTTATAATCACACATATACCGCTCAAAATTAATGGCTCCAAATCTCTAAATACATATAAATTATATGGAACAAGTTGAAAAGCTCTAAATTCATATCATGTTTTTCAAGTCCTTGACCGTTCAGAAAAATTATATTTTCTAAGGTTTGAATATGATTATTTGGATGATTCATCAAACATGCATGGTATTGGCATTACAAAAAGCAAGGCCCATTTCATTTCTAGCTCTACAGCTATCTAAGGAGTTCTTGAGACTTGAGACTTGAGACCCCTCTTTCTGTCTCTTGCTTAAAAGACGCGATGGTTCATCTCTTTCTCTCTCTCTATCTTTCCCTCTATTTCTTAAAAGATAAGATGGTCCATCTCTCTCTCTCTCATGTACAGTGCTAGAGGTCAGATTAATATTTGAATTACCTCTCTCTCAACAATATTCTTAAAAGACAACAACGACCCCAAATTGTAAACCCCACTTTCTCCAATCAATTCTTCAAATAAATATTCTCTCTCTCCATTGATTCCAACAGTCCAAGGAATCACGTGCAGGAAACCATACATTTCGTCAGTTTCATCCACCAAAGCCCTACAGAAACATAACCATTTCAAGACTAGAATATACATGAATTATAAAGATCCCAAACAGATGTATATGAACATCTTAAGCCTCAAATGTGTGTGTGAGAGTAAGAGAGAGAGAGAGATCCCATCTGTTTTTGTGCCTTCTATGGTACCCTTCGTCTGTTCCCAGCTTCTTGAGAGAACAACCTATACAAAATTGTCCTCCCACAAAGCATGGTTCTCTCCCATCCGCATCGATCATAGAAACACCAAAAATATGTACAAGAAGTTCCCTGATACAAAACCCTCCTTCCCATATCGCATGGTTTCTCTCCCATCACACATCAATAGAAAAACTCTGAGAAGATGTTCCTGAACATGTTAAGCCTCAAAATTTGAGAGAGAGAGAGTCTAGGTAACTTCATCTGACCCCACATCCCATCTTTTTTTGTGCCTTCTTCAATCCTCTTCCTCAACTCTCAGCCTTTTACAAGAACTTCCTGAATCCCTACCATGTGTGGTTTCTCTCTCATCGTAGTCCCTAACCCAGTAACGATTAGTGTCATGGTACCTATGCCTCCTCTGAGAATGCCTATGGCATCTCCTCGTGTGATCATGACTTCGATGGCTCCCAGGAATTTCTCTCTCTTCATATCTTCTCTTTCTTTCAGCACTGCTATCACTCCTCGCTATCTCTTCCCGAGTTCTGTCTCTTGTGCGATCACTTTCCCTCTCGTAGATAATCTTCCCTCTACAATACATTTGCTCTCTTCTAAAGAACTCATCTATAGTCTCTCCCTTTCTTTGTTGACCTGGTTTTTCAGTCTCAGAGTTCTCAGCCATCACTGTATCAGATTCAGTGCCTTCTCTCCCTGGAGAAGCAGATTCCATTGGTACAGGGTCTCTCAGCATGGGCTCCTGAACACTTGTGGCAAGAGTTTTGGGGCACCCAAGAAGAACTGAATCATGGTTCTCTCCATCAAATTCACCAATTTCCCTCTCAATCATATCCTTAGGTGTAGATTCTAGGAGCACTAGTGCCTCACTAGGAGAAACATGGGTTTTAGTCCCTTCATAACCCAAAACTGAAGTATGGGTAACAGATGCATTGAGTTTTCTTTCAATAGCAGGTTTTGTTGGAACAAAGCTATCCTCCTCATCGAGCCAACCATAACAAGGTGCTCTTCTCCGCACACCTCCACTTCGTGAATCATTGGTTTCTCTCTCTAAGTGACCAATTTCTCTCTCTCTATGCTCATTAACATTTCCTCTCACAAGCTGGTCAGTTTCTCTCTGTATTTGGTCAGTTACTCTCTTTATATGGTCAGTTCCCATCTCCACACTCGGTGAAATTGGACCAATTTTTCTCTCCACTCTTGGTGCAACTGGACCAATTCCTCTCTTCACTCTTGGTGCAATAGGACCAGTGTCTCTTTCTATACTTAGTGCACTTATATTGGTATGTTGGGTGTTGACTGTACCTTCCTTTTCGCAGAGAACCTCCTGGATGGCTGTGTTGGCATTTTCTGGTTCAGAAGGAGCTGCTATAGAGATGTGAACCCAATTGATACTATCAGTAAATATTTTCACTCTCTACACAGCAAACAGTAGATATCAATCAAAACTAGAGACCAAAACTTCGGCAAATCTTGGCCAATTCAAGCTAAATTTTGGTTTTGCTCATGGAAACGAAGTTTGCATATTACCCATTGTGACAAAATTCAGTTTTGGAAATTTTTCACTGATGATCAATCACAATACTTTCAAACTTTTGGGTTTTCTCAGGCAAATCCAAAAAACAATTAAAGAAAATAACAAGGGATAAAATCACAAAAAGTAGGAAAATTGTAAAAGAATTACGAGATATTTCAAAAAAAAATATTGTTTTCCCTGTACATTTTACTTTTTTTGGATAAAATTTCCCTATACAATTTAAGTTTCAATGAACTTTTTTCAAAATATACAGGAAATAACAAAATGTCAAATCCCACATATTTGAAAAGTATGTTTGTTTTTTATATTGAAATTTTAGAGAAATTTCCAAACAAAAAACAGGGAACATTTGTCACTCTGCGCATAAGTAACTTCCAGCCGGAATAAACTATAGCCCACCTTGTTCCTAAAACACAGTGCACCTTCTCAAATTGGAATCATTAAAGGAGCTATAATTCCACCACAGTTCCAAGTATTTTGCAGTTTAAATTTAGCAAAACTAAAAGCAACCCCTAAGAAAGTTAAAATAAAATAAAAAATTATTGCAGTGCAGTCAGAAATCCAACACTGAAACTTGGCGAGGAAGGAACCATTAATATTATATGAATAATGACATAAGAAAACTTAAGAGGAAGGAATCATTGATATTGTACAAATAATGACATGAGAAAACTTAAAAACAGAGACAGAGAGAGAGAGAGAGAGAGAGAGAGAGAGAGTTGCCAAAGTAACTAACCGGAAAATCTGGAAACGAAATATGGGAAGTATGCTAAATCAAATGGACGATACCATAGTCCACTAGTATCACCACTGTCCAATGAAATGAGGAAAAGTGATAGGGAGAGTGGATCCACCAAAACAGGAAACGACCCCAAAGGAGGGTCTTCCTCTCAGTGTCACAGCTCATCATTTCAACTGAACCGTAACCCCAATAGACTAGTGTTTCAATATTCAATTGGAATATAGTATAACTTGGCCAAAAAAAAATCGCCTGAAGAATCAGCAGCTTGCAGCTGATCAGATTGATTTTTCTTGTGGTTGTAAAAGGCTCACCATGTTTAATTTCTCCATCCTCTTCTTCACTTGCATCCTTCAAAACAAAAAAATCATGAATGTTTTACGCACCAAAAGTATTGATTAAATCTAATTCTACAACTTGATGTCAAAGCTCAAAGTTAATTCATAAAAAAAATGGATGTCAAAGCAATCCATAAAGTACCTCAAGCAACAGGACATCAAACAACTCAAAAAAAAGAAAGAAAAAACATCCATTTAATATGCATTTGGTACTGCAAATGAAGCGATCAGGGGTGATTATCATATCAAAATAAATTCAGCATAACAAGTGAAGTGACAGGTACGAGGCCCTCTTATCTGTCCTAATTTTTACCTCTAAGAACCTTAGCTGTTGCAAATTTCCATACGACTAGACTTACAAAAGAAATAAGATAAAATAAAAGGAATGCTAAAAGGTGATAAAAAACCCTTGATATTGGGAATAATTTCTTTTTTGAAAAATAAACTAATATTTGCTCTATAAATATTTTGGAATATATAAGGACAGTAAATTTCCTAAGATCAATTCTAAGCTTCCTTGTGGTCCAAATCTCTCCACCCCAAAACTAATCGGCTTTGATGCATTGATTGTGGGCACAATAAAACAAGCAAAGAGTAGTCAATAATTTGATGAAGGAATATTTCAATCAGTTCTGAAACAGATGCGTTCTTTATTTTCAAGATTCCAAACCAGTCAAATACAATTCTGCAAGCTATGCTTTCTGATCGGAAATCTCTGTTTGCAAGATTGTTAGGTTCAAAGAGAAGTTAATAAAGAGAGACAATTAAAATCACAATCTCAAATTAAGCAGGATAAATCTCTTAGTCTTCTCTTCTTCCCCCACAACTATGTTCAATATGTGATGAGAGAAAAAATAATGTATTCATTAAAACCAAAATAGGAATAAAAAAATGTTTGATGCATTATCAGGAAAGTCGCAGATAATTTGAGTGAATCTTATATGAGTAGTCTATTTAGTAACTTCCGAAACAATAATTGTTTGCATCATCATGACAAAAACATTGGCTTTTGATGAGCGTTATATGGTGCCAGTAACAGTTTTGAACTTCAAGGTATCCAAATTGCTAATCTCAAAACTGAATTAATTGTTAAAACTAAGATTCTCGTTCCAGCAAACTTCAAAAGAATTGGATCGAAAGGAAAAATGACCATATAGAATGAAAAACGTTGGTAAATGATTGCCCATTTATTGACTGTCTCATTTGTAGGACACTGTCCCCCCATGCGACATTTATGTTTGCCAGCAACTAATAAATGTGATGTACCAATATTCAAAAAAATAAACGTGAATGTACCACTATTCCAAAAAATAAATGTAAATGTACCAAAAATTTAAATTACATGGCAATAAATCGTATATTCAGATATGTAGTTAAAAATGTGTTGGTAGTCAACAGATCACCATTTGCCAGCTACTTATACATAGGGCATGTATTGAAAATATCACTCCCAGCATTGTTTTATGATTAGAAAGGAAAAGACCTCATGAGGTCCTTTTACTATTGTATTATTTACAATTATATGTGATGGGGCAATGAACCCCACTGGCAAATGAAGGATAAATCTAAAACATATCATTTCCTTTTCTAAACCCTAGAGGGTTTTCACTGGATATGTACGTCCATCTCAAAAAAAGTGTGCATGCAACAGAGCTTGCAAAGATATTCCCCCGAGTTTTCCGAGTTTTGTTATCCCATTAAACGACTGGTTCCCATTTTGAATCAGGAAACCAGACTTTGGTGGCATGGTAATATTGAACACACCTCAAACCCTATCGGTTTTTGTTCGAGTCCCAAAATCCTCATTACCGAGATGGATCAATGGACTTCTTTTCTACAATAGAAAAATCAACAATGTCTAATGTGTATTCTTTACCCATTTAGCCCACCATCTCCAGATCACTAACATGGAGAAACCTGTGTGAGTTGACTTATACTGTCAAAGGACTACTTTTCTAATTTCAACAGATATTTTAAAGATCCTTTCTGCACACTGTCATTGCCCCAGTTTTAAGTTTTAACCAAACATGTGCATCCTTTTGATCTAAGGATCAATGCCTTAGAGCCATCAGGATTAAGTCTCTTCAAGATATGAGTTTGCACTTCCCACGAGAGATATCTCTGCATTTTTCTTCTTAGAACTATTGTGGAATTTTGGGAGACGATTAAATTTTTTAACTAAAATTTCAGCACAGCCTGGCTTCCTTTGAAGCGTACAACATGCATTTTATTTCTCTCACAAGCCAATACATCTATTGGAAGTAAAGATCAATATACAAGTGTCTATACATTTCTCTTGACCAAGTTTAAGATGAAAATTTATGCTGGGTGGTCATGCATTCTAACACGTGCTAACAAGTATGAGTTCATTGAAGGTACAGTTGAACCTTAGAAGTCCCAGGCATGCATGAACATAAACTACTTCAAGAACAAGACACACCATATCCTCCTCTCTCTCTCTCTCTCCTCCTCTCTCTCTCTCTCTCTACTCTCTCTCTACTACTACTACTACTACTACTACGTACGTACGTACGTACGTACGTACGTACGTACGTACGTACGTACGTAC